CTCGCAGGTGCAGCGCTGGGGCGGATGGCGATGCTTCTTCTTTGAGTTTGTCTTCCAGGCACCGATCATCCTCAACTTCGTCCGTCTGGACGTAGTCGACGGAGCTTCGACATAGATTCCTACCACCTCCTTGTGGTGGTGAGATTAGGGTTTCTCGTCATGTGGCGAGGTTTGGTGTCAGGTGCTTCAGATCTATGCAAGGGTTTAACGACGATGACTGCAGGCTCCAGAGTGCTGATACTTAAGGGCACGTGTGCGAAGAGTTCCAGACTGTCATCGACAATGTCAAGACGGCCCAGTAGTGGAGCGGCGACATCGGCGCGTAGGCGACTAATTCTGGCGGCAATAGTGGACGTTTGGTGGTTTCGAAATCTTGGTGTGATTTTTATTATGTTTGAAATGCTTTGTACTTCTGTCGAACTTTTATAATAGATATTCTCGTAAAAAAACTTGAATAATAGATATGATCCTTTTAAAAAGGTAGTTCCCGCAAAAACAAAGGCTCACCCGCAAAAAAAAGACTAGCGTGCTTTCAAGGAAAAGAAAAGGCGTACGCCGAAGAATCGACCTTCCGAATATCCATTGCTTCTGCCAGCAATTGTGAATCAGTTTCAAACTCTGCTCGAATAATCCCCAAGTCAGCTGCAAATGAAACAGCATTTGACAGCGCCACTACTTCCGCTGCAAAGGCATCTTGGATGAGTTCCTGTCTTCCTGCCCGTGCACCCACCACTTCGCCGTCGCTGGTTCTTGCCATCGCACCCCAGCCTGCATGGAGCTCCCCTGGGACGAAGGCGCCATCAACATTGAACTTAACCATGTCTTGAGCAGGAGGCCTCCATTTATCAGTGCACTGTGGCTTGGGTTCTGGGAGGAAAACCTGCATATATTCCAGAGTAGAGCTGCGTGCGCGTCTCGCTACTTCGGCCGCTGTCAAGACACGCTCCCCATTTCTCAGTTTATTCCTAGCGCTCCACCACATCCACCAGAATGTGAGAATCTGCATCCTTTTTGGGGTGTTTAGCTCCCAAAGGTAGTCCATCATCACATGTACAGATGAGATTGCTTGCAGCTCCCTTCTTTCCTTCTCTAAGCCTAGTTCCCTCCACACCACCTTCACTGATTTGCACTTGATGGACAGGTGCCCCCCATCCTCATCAGCTTGCCCATAGAAAAAACATTTCGTGCTCTCCACTTTCAGACCTCGCCTTTGCATGTTTGACAGGAGTGCTAGAGATTCATGCCGCAGTCTCCAAGTGAACATCTGGACAGTTCTCGGGCACGGCAATCGCCAGATTCTTTTCCAAGAATCGTCGCTGCAAGTGTTCAGGTTACCCGCTTCGGCTGTGCTCTGTCCTACTCCCCCATTCTTCCTTATAGCCTTCAGTTCCATGTGCAACTTATACGCACTCTTCACAGAGTGTATTCCCTTGCTCTCGAACTGCCATGCAACGAAGTCATGAACCCCCTCCCGCAATGGCATCTGCAGAATGTGTCTAGCATCCTCTGCGCAAAAAGTATCCCGCACAAGGCGCTCATCCCATTGCCCCGTGGAGGGGTCCATTAACTCACTTACAGTCTGCATCAGGTTATTCCCTTTTGGGGTGACGATCCTTCGTGACCACGGCCTTGGGATCCAAGGATCTGTCCATATCTTAACACTTTCGCCGTCACCGATTCGCCAGATGTATCCTTCCCGGACTAGGTCAAGTCCTTTCAGTAAACTCCTCCACGCGTATGAGATGCCCTCTCTCGCCACAGCCTCCAGGACATGGCAGGTCGGGAAGTAACAGGCTTTTGAGAACCCGAGCATGCAGCGTGTCTGGGTTTTGTATTAGCCGCCAAGCCTGCCTCGAGAGCATTGCCAT